AAAATATCCTAGAGATTTTGTTGATATAAAAATGCAACATTAAAACCTATTAAAAAGTAGTTATTGTTCCAATCTAATGGGCACCCCTGCATGTATTACATTACCTAGTTTTTAAGAATAATTGATTCAGTTTCAAGAGCTTAGCATGTAAGTAATCAATTCATCATATTACATCAATTCATTTTGACTTTTAAAAACCAACAATATTACCCCGATCTGTTGACTTTATCAATCTCTAATCAGCACAATCATACAGACACTTAATAAAGTTGGTCTATGAAGTGGTCATGGTGTTAGTTGGGGCACGTCAGTTGCCGCCCGTAGCATGAGCAACTAATTTGACTAGGGTAGTCCATTCCATAGACAGACTACTAGATGAAAGCTAATGCTACCCGCGAGGACTCTAATTGCGAACCATGTGCTCCGCCTTCCTGAATAATAAAATGACTACAATTAAAATGGCCTGGACCATTTGGTGATGATCTGTGCGGCATGTGCCGTCTCTGCATTATTGAGTGTTAGCCATCGGCCACCACGCTTCCTAGGAACAAGAGACCTCGTAAAGAAAAACTAACGAGTTATTTAATATAAATCAAAGCTTTTATCATTAAATTTCAATTAAAAAATAGAAATTAATTAATTGTTGGATTGGATATTACGTAATTTAATGGAATGCGAAAATTAAATAAAACAAAAATCTATTCTCTTAATGTTTATGTAGGTAGCTTTTTTTATGTCCAAAATTCATATTATACATAGAACATTTAAAAAATAAACAATAAAATAAATTGATTTAAAATCATCCAAATTGTAAAAACAAAATCTATGTATTATTTGTTTATTTCTTATTATTATTATTAATTTTTTTTATGGCATACTACTCCAATGCAATGATAATGACCCTCTGTGGGAAGATCCTTTGGAAATAAAATAAAATATTACTACCAATAACTTTTATAAAATCTTGAGCACAAAATTAAATTCATCCCTTATATTGTACAAAGAAATAATAATAATCCAATCAACAAGTCCAACGACTACAAACAAAAAACATCTTCTGTTTGCGATTATACGTTCGTACACTTATTTTGAGTAACCGTAATAATTAAAAATGAACAAAGAAAATGGATACTGAAAATTAATTATGTTTTAAAGAATAGTCTGTTATTGTATTTTGTTAACTAACTATACATAGTTTCATTAGTTTTGAATGTACTTAGACAGTTCCGGCTTAGTGACGGGCAAAGAGGGCAATTATTACTTCTGGGCGCCGTTCGGGAGAGGTTCGCCAGTCATTTATTATGAATAAAAAAAAAGTTACAAAGCGTATGAAAATAATCAATTTGAGTCTATTAAAAAAATACCTGGTGTATCCACTCACACGACTTTCCTACCTATTTCAGAAATGTTTTTATATCTTTACATATGTTCATGAAGAAACAAAAAAGAATTGAACTAGATACATTTTCCTGAAAATTGATCAAACATAAGATTTGAGTACGATTTATTTGATTAACTAAAGCAATGTAAACCGGCTTAAGGTAGATCAGTGTAAAAATTTCAATACTTCCTAATATTGCTGATCAAAAAACTTTTTGCCATAGCTTAGTGTTGTCAAACAATAATTTCTGTTAAAAGTAGAGGAAATAGTGAATATTGTGTGATGCGGGCAACAGATTTTCTTACTTTCACTTAGTCATCTCTATTCTCTCATTCACCCCTTTCTGACAACAGAATTTGAAACTGTAATCTTACAATGGAAATTGAATAGCTGTAACTTCGTTAATAGTTGTCCGAAATGAACGATTTTTATATAGTTTTGTAGGGAATTTCATTCCATTACATTCTTTCGGACTCAGGGGGCTGTGAAACGTATAGATCCGTCGAAAACCGCACGTCGGAAATTTGACCCGATTGCAATACTTTCCTTACCTAGTATAGGTGGGAAAGTAATAAGTTAAAAAAAATGTGTATAAAATAGAATAAGCTGTATCATCGCTAATGCTGGTTCGATGCCGATGATTTTTTTTTTGTTTTGTTGCTAATTTAATTACCTTTCAAAAGTTGTATTATAAATTTTACCGTATGATATATACTTAGGGAGTTAGGCCCCTTAACATTTTTCTTTTCTTCATAACTTTTTTTCCTGAATTTTTTCGGGAATTTAGTCTATATACGAAAATTGAAAGAACAATGATTAGAACATTATAGGAATGTTTCATCAAAATCGTTGAAGCCGTCTTTGCGCTACAGTCTATAGAAAAACGTGTTTTTCATATATTTCGCGCAAGCTATTGCGCATGGAGTTTCTGTCACAGGCATCAGTAGTCAAAACCCTACAAAATAAAAAAAGAAGCAACAAAATCGGTTCAGTAGTTTCCAAGAAAATCTTGGCACAGACTGACAGACAAACCAACGGCTAAGAATGTGTTTGTCGGACTCAGGGGGCTGTGAAACGTATAGATCCGTCGAAAACCGCATTTCGGAAATTTGACCCGATTGGAATACTTTCCTTACCTAGTATAGGTAGGAAAGTAAAAAACAGAATTAGAGACATATTTAATTAAATAAAATTCAAATATTACTTAATATAAAACTGTTTAAGAAAGTAAATTGATTTTTTCTATGAAGAGGGGTAGATGACGTTAATGATTGGGGGTTTAGATTTAGATGACTAAATATCTAAAGCCTGCACTGTGCTTAGATAGTTTACTTATTGTTTTTCGTTTTTTTAATGTAACATAGCTTCTGGTCAGAAGAGATCTTTTTTTTTTTGTACATCTTTTTTATTCTTTTATCATTTCGAAATTTAATTATCGTTCTATTCTATTTTTAAAAATATATATGTATATAATGCAAGACACTTTTTGCCAGAATTAATCCTTTCCTTCTATACACATTTGTTATTATTTTATGGTCCCAGAATTAATATTTTTCTATCATACGAAAAAGAAATTGTAAATAAATTTATTTTCTTATTTCTCTTTTATTAGGAAGGTTCAGGTTTATGTATTTTGTAAGGTTAATGCGAATAAACTTCCATTTTTCTTTAGTCTTTTTTAATCACATATATTACATCTGACGTCCCGGGACAATTTTCCCATCGTCAGAGAATCCTTTAGGTTTACTAAAATTATACATATTTAAAATGAACTATTATTACATTGTTGAATATTAGTGCAGTAATGGAACTGGAGGTAGCCCAGATGTTGGTTAGTGTGATAATAGTCAGAAAATGAATGTGTAACACCAAAAAGTATTATATTTAAATAGATATGACAATTATTGTATTTTTGGACAATTGGAGCCACATTACAAAGTTAAGGTAAATAAATTGTGAAATCAACAAGACACATATACTCATTATTTGATATCTAAATAATACATACTGCTATTTCTGAAGAGTCAAAGTAAAACTGGAGACATCAGTTAGGAAAGTTACTGTATCATTGTAAAATCACTCAAAAGTGATTTTGAGAAAATTATGATTTAATGTTTTTCATTAAATTTGATATTTTTATTTTCAGTTCTGGCTAGAAACTAAACGAAACAGTTTTTATTTCGGTTTATGTTATTTCTTAGTACTGCAGACCTTTTTTTATTAATTTTTTTTATTTCAAATCACAACACTTGCCTGGAGAAAGTTTACCATTATTAATAATTATTCTGCTTCCTTCTGTTCTGAAGCTCCTTAAAAATTTTGTATAATATTCTAAGGTATGTCGACACAATTTGTTTTTAAAATTTGCTAATAAGAGTTAACACTGCGGATGCCCGGGGCAAAGATATACCCCAAGCTGCTCAAGCGAAATCTCCTAACGCGTTTAAAAACCCATTACACTGTCCCCCGGCTTCGATTAAAAATTTCCATTAATTGAGTCGTTTGACCGTGCCAATCGTTAAACGGGAGGGGATCTTCATGATAGCGTCAGACTGATTAAACTTTTGTAAATACAATTCATAAAATAAATAAAACGTATTTAGAATTCGAGGTAAAGGTATTACACAATAAACCAAAAAATGACAAAATGTCTAATTTTTATAATTTTTGTGATTCATCTAAATATTATTAAATTACAAAATGATTGTCTTGATGGTTCAAGGGTGAATAATCGTTGTTTTTAAATCTCATTACTTGCTCCCATAGTATACTAAAATGTATAACGAACGGATTTGGACATTATTTTAATTAAAAACTATAGGGGTACACTCTGTCCACCTAACGGCGGATCAATCCCTATTTTACGAATTATACAAATGTTCAATTAATTGTACTATTCGTTTATCAAAGTGTATAACTTTAATTTACATGTATTCTGTAGGTCAGATTGTATTATTTTTTATCAACATACAATAAACTGAACGAAGCTCACAGTTCGGACAAATTTTTAATTTCTTAAAAAATCTATATTATACATCGCGCATTATTGCCAATTTATATTATTATATAATCATAATTATTCTTATTGCCGATTTTCAACCATAATATATATTCAACTTATACATCTTTATGTAAGCCAAACAATAATTTGAGTCTCTTATTTCTAATATTTTCATTGTGCATTATATTGTGCTTCCTTTTTTGTTTCATAATAATTATGATTATACCACAATATAATATAAATAAAATTACATATAATATAATAATTAATATATTGTATTCAAGAGGTTAATATATAGCTCGAAAAATAACTGCTGTCACCTCTGTAAAATCAAACTATCTCCTCCAAATTTCCGTACAATTTTTTTATCTAAAACTATATTTAGTATTAGAAAAGTAATAGGTAACAGAAGCTCAAAATATATGTAATTAAATGAACAGCTGTATAATTTGATAAATAATCGCTTAATAATTTAAGCTCCTGTTATTATCTACTCTCCTGATACTAAAATAAAATATGAAAGTCACTGAAAACCTTTTTATATGATAGGGAGATGCATTAATTTTGAAAACTTAAGAACTCATAAAGAGCCTATAAAAATACGCAATACTTACTAACTTGTGTCCCGCCGTTTAGTTGTAGCGTCAGTTAAATTCGTATTATACATAATTTTATTTTAGAAATCTGGTGAGTTCATAACCAAAAAATGCATTTGTTTTACTGAAAAAAATTCCGAATTATTGTAGAAAAAAAAGAACTTATATCCTAAAAAGACTCCCTCTAATTTTGAAATTACAATCTAAGTACAAATTGTTAATTGAAAGTGAATTATAATTCTATATTGGTATTTAATCAGAGAAACTTTTTATATTTTGTAAGTTTATTTTCATTCTTCTTCTTTTTTTCTTTGATTATTTTTTTTTCAAACAATTATTTGTATTCTCGAGACGACTTCTTTGTTGTAATATATTTTTACTATGCTTTTCTTATCCCATTTGATATTTATTTTATTTTTTATGTACTATTAAACATGTTCGTCTTAGATTAATTTAGTAATGGATTACATAAGAATATCTAAACATGTATAGCTGACCCCTATTTTCTTTGTCACAATTATCTTCTTAAATACGCAAATAGAATTTGTTTATCAGCAGATTCGTAAATAACCTTTCTATATTTACTTTTCGCATATTTAATCCATCAATTTGTTTTACTATTTATGATGATTACTTATCTCCTAACTACTTTTTACTTTACAAAATAGGTTTAATTATTTTCCTCGGTTTTATATACTATGAAAAAAATTGTCCGGCGTATCCAGGAGTATTTGACCGCTGGTTTTACTGAGGTCCACATTTTGCCTAAATGTTCCGAATTCAAATCTCTTCAGGCCAACCTTTTAAGAAAAAAGTCTGAGGAGTCAAAATTTCTTAAGGGAAAACTTTAAAAGTAACAAAGTACTGTAAACAACTTAATATTTCTTAAAAAAAAAAGCTAATTATTCTATAAAATTGAATTATGTAAATTTTAATAATGCAAAGGATGTAAATAGTAAGCTGGTAAAATTGTAACATTTTTATGGGTTTCATTTATAACTATAAACTTAACATTTTAATTTAATATAATTGAATTTAGTATTCACGTATATTATTAAATTTGCAACTTTATTGTAATTTTGATTGTATCTGTAACTTTTAATCTCTACTTTTAATTTTCAATTTTAATTGTATTTGAAGCATTGGATAAGCTCCTAAACTCTGGAATATAATTGATGAACATAAAAAAAAGCTATCAATGGATTAGTGGTGAGTAACGAAACTTGGTCTAATTTTATAATTAACTTTATTGTAATTTTTATAGTTAAAATAAATTAATTGCAAAACATCTAATATAGTCCTTTCCAATTAAAAGTATAATTATGAAATAAGTTTTGTTTCTAAAAAGGTTTTCAACATTACCGAAATATGATAAAACAATAATGCATTGTTACTAAGACTAAAATGGTTCAAATAAGATTTTAATTTTGGTTCTAAAATTTTTAAGTCATAACTTGTTTTAAGGAATTAAAGAAATTACTTATGTAATCCAATGTGATCCTATTAAAGCAGTCAGCAGTCGTGGCCGAGTGGTTAAGGCGTCTGACTAGAAATCAGATTCCCTCTGGGAGCGTAGGTTCGAGTCCTACCGACTGCGAATATTTTTTTTTTTTTTATTAAAATAAATGTTTTACTCTATAAGCATAGTTCTGAAATTAATAAAAAATATTAAATACAGTGACAGTCAAATAATTATGATATCATTAAAATGGAAGTGCATTAAAATGAGTTACATATCTATGTATGCATTAAATTACTTAGAAGAAATATTTATTTATTATTTTGATGTTAATAACTGGTTTACTCAATTTATTTTGAACTACAAATTGAATATTACATTTTTTTAATGAATATCATATTTCATGTATCTAACATAAAGACCTTGTTATATAAGTAACATCTTTTAAACGTAAATTTAACAACCAGAAATATTAACAAAGGCACAAGCAATCATAATAAGAACTCTACCCCATGGGAAAAACCTTTAACTCAATCGAAATGTTTACTTTTTATTTTTAATTTCTCTTTCATATAATATTTTATGGCTGTTTTATGAAATTTCTGAAGAAAGGAAAAATAAATTTAGAAATTAGAAAGGAATATGTAAAGCAACATTGAAATTTAAAAGCAATTCATTTTAAAAATGGTTTAGGTTTCTGTACTAAATATGAAACAAGACTTACTAAAATTTCATTTAAATTAATTATAAAACAGAATTGTTTTCAAATGTTATGTATAAACTAAACATCAAATTAGAAAAGTGAGGAGTTCTCTAAAAAAATACTTTTCTATGAAATATTCAAAAATGTTTGGAGATGACATATAAAGTAAAAATAAAAAATTATAATAAAATTTTTTTTTGTTTTAATGACTTTGTTAGCCAAACGTCGTGCTAATGAAGTGTATTTACAGTAAACTTATGAAGCGTATTTTGACCAAAATAAAATGAATAATTAATAGTAATAATAGAAGAGAAGGATTGTTGGGATGATCAGTCAAAATAAAAAATAGAAAAATAAATAATTATATTTAATTTTATATTTGCCGACGTTTTCGGCCCCAAAGTTCAGGCATAAGAACTACAAGAACTTAAAATTAATGAACTTTGGGCCGAAACGTCGGTAAATATAAAAATAAATATAATTATTTATTTTTACTATTTTTTATTTTGAGTGATCAGCCCAACCATCCTTTTCTTCAATTATTCACTACAGTCAACTATCAATCGACAATAATAATAATAAATAGCCAGGTGTAATATGTGGCTTATTGGGATCCTTAGCTAGTCAATTAACGTTAAATATTAATGATATCTATGTATGTAAATGTACATATAATAGATAAAATGACAGATGAATATGGCTAAAAAAATACCATCCCACCTCTAATGGCTACTAAATTACCAGCAAAAGTTGGCCATAATTTTGCTAATTTTAAAATATTTATGAATTTATTCCCTAGTGTTTTTGAATTAACGTATAATAGCATTGCTAAAAGGAATTAGTGCATGTATATTACTAATTAACTACTCGGTAGATAGGTATTAGTGATTAAATTGGAGTTAGATGTTATATGTTTAAAAAATCCAATGACATATAAAAAAACAGTAATAAAAAAACGAAACATTTATTGCGTGGCATATATACTTTAAGAGACAGTAACTTCCGTACTCTATAATTTTATTTTGCTTAACTTGTGTGTTAAGAATTTCTTTACAATAAGCAGAAGAACGTATAAATATAGACATGGGGAAATCCGGTAGCAAAAATATTGACTTTTTTTTTTTTGCTTAATGTAATACATTTTTATGCAGTTGTAAATGCAGATCTTAAAAGTTTAATAATGTTGAGTTTTGACACCTCGATATCATAGGCGGAGAATTTCTATTCCGTTTGGAGGAACGATGGAACCATCCAAGGTCTTGGGAGTTTATATTATGAATAAAAATTATGAGTGATAATTATTCATTCATGGAGATTAATTTTTATTGATTTTGATTTAATTTTTGAAAAATTAGAAGGAGGAGGTCGAAACGATATTCTTGCTCGCTCCCTCTCTATTTGTATTAGTCGCTCCCTCTCTCGCCTTATTTCCTTTCCCCCTCTCCGAAATCTGCGCCTATTCTTTAAAAGTAAATGACCTGCTATGATTTACACTCAAAGTAAACAGGTTTTTTTTTTAATTAAACAGGTTTTGATTGGATTAAAAATAATACGGTGAAAATTAACATCGCTCATCTATCACTATTTTTGGATTTGCTTCCGTAATAATGAACTTCATATTAATTCCACAGCTGTGAGTGGGGAAACGATATGGAATCACGTGATCGTGGACCTAGTGTAATATATAGAGCGGGTATACAGGGATCTAGGAACTAGAGAAATTGGCGAATCGGTCCGTGCAAGATCTATTATATTGCTGAGGTAGCCTTAACACTGGCCCCGATTCGTCTGATCTGGATCCAAACGGATTTCATAGCGACAATAGTTCCTCAGTCGGGTGTGTAGGATAGGCCTCATCCTTCCCCAGCCAATATATATCTTTACCTCCATTTATAAAAATATCTACAATTTATTACATAATAAATATTTTTCGATCTACATTTCCCCTTGAATAAAATATATAAATTATTATATTATATATAATATAATTTATATCATATTGTGATATAATTATAATTTTTTTTTAATAGAAAATAAAGTAAAATATAACGAACAATGAAAATATTACAAAAATAAAATGCTGAAATCATTGTTGGGCTTATATGAGACCACACAAGTTGAATATATGCTATTGTTACAATTTTTCAATAAGAATAATTATGAGAAGAAGAATAGTTGGGGTGATTAGTCAAATAAGAAGGAAAAAATAAATGATAATATTTATTTTGTCATTCGCCGACGTTTCGAAGTTCAGGCCATCAGGGCTAAGAAAAGAACCAGATAACAAGGTATGAGAAACATAAAAATTACAGTAAAATGAAGTTGTTAGAATAATGACGATAGTAAGAACAAGAGACAAATAATAATAACAGGTACAAAGTGTGGAATGATGAAGTAAACATAGTCAAAAAGGTGACATAAGTATTGTAATTGTAAGTATTGACTATGTTTACTTTATCATTCCACACTTTGTACCTGTTATTATTATTTGTCTCTTGTTCTTACTATTGTCATTATTCTAACAACTTCATTTTACTGTAATTTTTATATTTCTCGTACCTTGCTATCTGGTTCTTTTCTTAGCCCTGAAGATGGCCTGAACTTCAGATCGAAACGTCGGCAAATGACAAAATAAATACTATCATTTATTTTTGCCTTCTTATTTGACTGATCACCCCAACTATTCTTCTTCTCATTATTCACGACAGTCAACTATTTAACCACTATTAAGAATAATTATGGTTATATAATAATATAAATTGACTATAAGGCACGACACATAATATAGATTTTTAAAGAAATTTAAAAATTGCCCGAACTGTGGTTTCGTTCAGTTTATTTTATGTTGATAAAAAATAATTCAATCTGAACTACCGAATAATGTAAATAATAGTTATACAAGTTGAGCAACGAATAGTACAA